GCACAAAGCCAGCCACCAAAGAGCAATACCCTCCAACCAGCATGCTGCCCAACGTACACGGGCGAAGAAAAATGCCGCAACACCTTCCCTGCTGAGCGGTCCTGCCGATGAAAGGGTTAGTAAAGCTCGCCACAGGCATTAGACAGCGCAGCTGGACGTGGGAGCGTGACTTGACCGCGGAAAGACTGATCGCATGCGTGCATGCTCTTGTCGCCAAAGTGTGCATGTTCATGCAATGGAAGAGACCCCCGCGCGCACTCACACAAATGGTGGCAGCTAGCAATGGTGCAGAGGGGGCGACTGGGAGCGGCTGAGAAAATCTGGGCAGCTGTGACCCCAAAGAATGGTCAGCCAGAGACATCTGCTGTTACCCGCTGACCTAACACTTATCAGTCCACGTCTAGGGGAAGGTTAAAAAAAAAGGACCGAGACCAAGCTAGAGACGGAGTGCGAGCCGTCCTTACGGCTCATCAGTTACAAACTATTAAGTAGTAACTCCGAGCGTGGCAGAAGGACCTTTCAGCGTGGTGATGGTGGGCACTTTCCTGCCCATCACATGCTTACTGATTCTCTGTCCCTAGGCCAGTGATGGCGAACCTTGGCACTCCAGCTGTTTTGGAACTACAAGTCCCATGAGGCATTGCAAGGCTCTGACAGCCACAGACATAACTCCCAGAGGCAGATGCATCTTGGGATTTGTAGTTTTGGCACAGCTGGAGTGCCAAGGTTCGCCAACACTGCCCTAGGCTGTACAGCTTGTCTGGAGACTTCCCAAGCAGTTGCACAAGCAACATTTAGGGTGCCTGCCCCAGCTCTTCACCTTCTCTGAGGGGGTCACCCTACCTGCTTCTGCTGTCCATTTGACCTTAGATGGACCTTAGATGGAGGCTGAAGGCCACAGGATGGTGGAACTTCAATATAAACCATAGAGGTTCTTAAGTTTAATTTTAAGATTAAGGAATCCATTACTCTGCCAATATATGTGAATTTACTAAATGACATTACAGCAGTGTTTCCTCTGGTGAGACCATGCCTGTGTCCTCTACATGGGAAGACCATTATATAGGATCTGCTACAATATCTCCCCTTCCATGCTGAATGTTATGGAGGAGTAGGATGCAGGACCCCGGGTGAGGGATGTTACCAGTGCCACCCATCCTGCGCTCCATCCATCTATAACTGCACTTCCTGTTCATCACCTTACAGGACAACCAGTATTATTAGATGTTAAATTGTCACCTGCCAGGTGGCGGCACAATATCATTTAGGTGACCAGGCCGAATTTATTAAAATGACGGAAGCGGCACGTGTCCTGCGGGGGGGGGGGGCCTTTTTATATATACAGTGGTACCTCGGTTCACAAACGTAATTCGTTCCGCGATTCTGGTCTTCGAACCGAATCAAACCGCGATCTGGACTAGAGGAACTTGTTAAAGATGTCACCAGTAGTGATGGGCTCCGGCGTGTTCGCAGCTCCACGTGCCGAGCCCGCCAGGAAGCTGACAGCGCCAATCACAGGTACCGAGACATGATTCCGGTCCGCAGCGGCAGAGATCGGTAAATGTCTCAGTACCTGTGATTGGCGCTGTCAGCTTCCTGGCCGGGCTCGGCACGTGGAGCTGCGAACACGCACGAGCCCATCACTAGTCACCAGCGCAT